AATAGTTCAATGATAGGCATTCATACATATTGTGACTATTTTAAGTATATAATTGGATTAATATTAGTATGATATTTTTTTAATTCATATACTTGTTTGTTTGTTAGTAGAGGACTGGCTATTAAATTGATAACTTGAAAGATTGGTAGTGAGGACTAAGATAAGGATAAAATAGACTGCATGTAGTGGATTATCATTTTAGAGACACCTTAGAGATATCTAGGATATATTTTTGAAATTTCAAAGCAATTGAAGAGAGTGAGAAGATGCACAAAAGACATTGGTATTATATCTTTTATTTTAGTTAATAAAAAGAATAGATTTTAATTCTTAGATTAGAATTAATTGTGACTAATTGAAATTTTTGATTAGAATAAGCTTTTAAAAAATTATTTAGAATAAATATATCCACTTTTGAATAATATTTGAAGGCAAAACATAATGTAGTCAAAGAGAAACAAAGTATTGAAGCAAAGAAGGTCCAACAAGTTTACAAGTCAAGGATAGTAATTTTGAGGGATCATGACTGAGTGTCTATAAGAATTATAGTTATGAGAGTTTTATTATAATTATATTGGCAAGTCAAAAATAAAATCACAAATTTTTAAGATATTATGACATTTGATTTGGGAGATATGTACAAAAGAATAACTAGGTGTGAGATTGTAACAATAGATTTTCGACTAGAAAGTTAATTTAAAAGATTTGATTATTAAAAATGATTTAAGTTATAAATTGATTTCAAAATTAGAAAATTAAGAAGAGATAAGATATGTAATCTACTACAAAAGGTTTCAAATCATTCTATTGATTTTACATTGAGTTATACAAGTTCAAAATGAAGCACATCAAATTAAGTACAAGTGAGGGATTTAAGTGATAATTTAGTATAAACAAGTGCAAAGGAGAGAATAGAAACTAACTAAGACATAAATAAACACTAGAGATCTCTATAGGAAGAAACTTTGTGCTTTCTTGGATCAACAATAATGTATATCTTATTATATTAGATGGTGAAATATAACACTTATAGAACCATAATCTTAGAAGAAAATTTTAATGATTGGTGATATAATTCGAAGTAGGCATTATAGTTAATGAAATATCAAATGTATTATTTAAAGTAACTTTAAAAACTTCAACAATAAAAAAATAAAAAAATTTACCCTTTTATACATATATGAGATGTTATGAATGGTTTAAAAAACTTATAAACTATCTTTACATAGTCATGGATTAGAATTTGTAACAAATATTATTTTGATAGATCATATATTTTATCAATATTTATTTATTTATTTATTTATTTATATTAAATTATCTTTAAATAAAAAAGAAGAATTATATAAAATAATTATATTATTTCAATGAATATAAAATTAATAATAAAAATTATACACTTATTAAGAAAATAATATCTTTTTTAAAAAATATTAATAAATTTTTTTATATGAAAATTAGATCTATAGATTTTTTGGATATTCCAATTGATTTTATGACTTTTTTTAGAAGTTTCTTTTTTCATAAAAAATCATTAGAAAAATGACCTCCAATTTGGATGCCATGTCTTATGGCCTTACAATCCTTTAGAAGTTTTTATATGGCATTTTTTGTATCATGTAGTATTTATAAGGAAGTAAGATTTAATCCATCTTTAATCTCTTAAATGTCTTTCTTGTATTTAAATTAAAATTTATAAATCTTTTATTTTTTTTATTTAAAAATAGCCATTATAGTTTATTTTTATTATATAACTATATTATTTCTTTTTTTTCTTCTTCTTTAACAATACATAAGTAGATTGCTTTTTTATAAGTTTTTTTAAAATTAAATATTTAATTAAAAATTAAAAATATGTAGATACATATAAATAAAAATTATATAAAAATATCTTTATATAGAAATATAATAGAATTTTTTTAAATAAAAAGTAGAAATTTAGGTGACCTTGGATAATTCACATAGAATTATAAACTTATGTTAGAAGTTTTGATAGATCTAAAAAGCCAATATAGAAGTATTTATAATTTTGGTACAAAATTCTCAAACTTATGGTCTTTAGTAACTTTTTACATGGTTTTTTTTGTTAGCTAACATTTATTGATTTTAGAATTTATGCTTTAATCTTGTCAATGCATTTCTTATACTTTAAATGTAGTTTAACTTCTTTCAGCCCTTTGTATTTTGAAAAAGCCATTTTAGTGCTCTTTTGTTATGAATGTATTTCTTTTAGTTTTTTAATAGATTATTTTTGGTTAGATATAGCTATATGTATGTATGTATGTATGTATATCACTATAATTACAATTTTATTTATATGTACCTAATTTTTCTACTATATCAATATATATATATATATATATATATATACTAAATATACTTAGATTCAAAATTTATGAATTATTACCATAAAAATGATTCTATTATGCTCATGCTATTAACTTGTATTTGACTTCAAATCTATCTTCATAAATAAATTATGTACATATATATATATATAATAAATATATATGTATTATGTACATATATAAATATTAAAGATCAACTCTTTAAACTTACACATAAATTGACCTATTGTTGCTGTTGTTATCAACTTTGTTAATAGCAATAAAAGATTGAAATTTATTTTTTTAACCAAAAACTATTATAATTGAGAAAAATTTATATATTTTGTTTTATTCTTGATTCTATCTTTTATTGCTAATAAATTTAGGGATTATTATATTTTATTATTCTTGCTAAAATATTATTCTTTTTTAATATAAAATAATATAGATTATTTTTACCACAATATATAATATTTTTTTATAATATTTTAAATAAGAATAATAATAAATATCTACAATAAATACAACCAAAATAGATGATTATAACAAAAATAGATGAAATATATGTCACAACATGAAAAATTAACTTACATTATTTAACTATATATCCATATGTATAGTTAGTTTGACAAAGTACCATTTAACAGCATGAAGGGGTTTCAAAAAATATTATATAAAACATACAATTCAAATAGAATTTGTACACAAAATAATATTCATAATAAACATGTTATTTTAAAACCATTAATTTTTGCTTCCCAAATAATGTATACACTATGAGTCATCAGATTGACTCACTAGTTGTTTTAGGACAAAAGAATGCATGTAGAGTGCCAAAATTACAATTATTAGGTAAAGATGTGCTTAGAAGATGTTAAAGAAAGAAGAATAGTATTAGTGGAGTAGAAATGGAGTCTAAATAAGTCTTGGAGGTAATTATTTTAGTTGGTTTAGTATTTTTATTTATTATTGAAGAATAAATATTAGTTACTAAAATCAATATTTATATTCATCTTATATCTATATGTATTACTTATACAAAAACTATAAATATTAGTTAGTAGTTAAAAGAAACATAAGAAAGAACCTCATGTCTTTTTAGTTATTTATATAGAAAGTAGAATTTATAATAGATTTAAATTGATTCTATTACTATAAAAAATCATTAATATAGGAAATTATATCCTTAAATTACTATTAGAATTATAGAAACATTATAGGAATTTTTAGAATTTATTTAGAATTTTTAGTAGATTCAAATTGATTTTTGTCACTATAAAAAATAACCAATATAGGTAATTATATCTTTAAATAGATATTAGAATTATAAAAATATTATAGGAATTTTTAGAATTTATTTAGAATTTATTTAGAATTTTCTATGAATTTTTAAGGTAATTTTCAAGACCTTGGTAAAATTGAGTTTTACCACTTGGAGAGCCATTATGAAGAAATGGAGCAAGTTTTGAAGGCCACACAATGTTTATATGCTAATTGGGTGTTTTTGAACACCATGGTGAAGTCAAAAATGCAAAAATATTAATTCTACTAGTAGAAAACAGGAGGACCAGCAACTAGTATAGTCCTTGTAAGAAGGGAGGTGCACAAGTCCTATATGGGTTGTAGCACCTTGGATGTAGGTAGGAAGGTAAGACTAAGGCCTCAAGGCCTCTTTAGGCAACCGATATACACTACATGTGAGCCTTAGTGAGGTTCGAACCCTTGATCTATAAGCAAGTTTTCCTTGAGGTAAAATATATTCACTTCACTTTTTAATTATTTACTTCCTATTTTTTAAAACTTCATAACTTACTCATAGTAATTCGGATTTACATGTTTCTTACGTCATTGGAAAGATAATATAATTACATATCTAGAATTTTACTTTTTACTTTTTACTTTTTACTTTTTTCTAGGTGAAAACACAGTGAACAGATTGTGACTTAGTTTTTGATTGTGTACTTGCTTCATGTCATTCATTTCAATTGTTTTGTGGTTGTTCATCTTTTGTTCTTGTTAATTGCTTACTTCCCTTCATACTACCAATTACAAGAAACTTTTAATTGAGGCCATCTTGTAATTGGGGTTGAGGAGTGAAATTTACACTCACATATACTTGTCACTAAAATATAATGGTTTTAAAATAATTTGTACTCAAAAATAATACTCACTTTAAGCATGTTATTTTAAAACCATTATTTTTGGGGAAAGAACTGGAACAGAAGACAACCTAAAATTCTGTTATAACTATTGAAGGTTTCAGAATGTAATTAATTCTAAATGAATCAATACAGGAAAAAAGAAAAAAGAAAGTTTATGTTTTACTTTTTCTTTAGTTTTTATCTATTCTATATTTCTTTTTAAAATAGAAACACACATAGGAGGGCCAACGACGTCGGGGACTCGGCAGCCAATAGTACCCTAGAAAGAAGAGGGCGACAGGTGTAGACATTATCTTGGAAGCAAGACCACGTGGAGGGTCACGATTGGGCTACAATTGTATATGTCCTAGTTGGCAGTCTAGCTGGAGCCAGGCCCCAATTTCTCGTAAGGGTCTCCCGGGCAGCGGTGGGCAGCCCGTCCGCACCCACCTCCAAAGTAGATGAACAGAATTCCATTCATGGGACATCATCCATCCCGTGCAGGAGGACAGTTTATTATGAATGGGTTAGAGAGCTGCTAGGGTTATGGACTGCATTGAGTTTCGTAGCTTCAGGTGTTCGTTGACTGTTAGAGCGAGGTGTGGAGCGACCTGAGGCTTGGAGGTCGGTTAGAACATGATTTGAAGTAGGAAGTAGAGTGAACCGGAGAGTTTAAAGTGGCGGCAGGAAGAGTGGAATTGGAAGGTGAGGGTAGACGAGGCAGAATCAAGCTTCTTTGAACCGAAGCCCCATTCCAGTTCAACATGGCTGCTCACAATCAAGCAAGCAATCTGACCTTTGGTTGCGTTGCCGCGCTCCAAGTGGTGAAGGCTAGAGACGCAAGTGCACGGAGGGTGAAAATGGCGGCTGTGGAGTCGGGCTTGGCTGGTGTGCAGCTCACGAAAGTGAGGCCTGGTGCGGATGTCCTGAAGAGGGCAAAGAGGAAGAGTGTGGTGTTCCAGGCTGTATTTACCGAGAGTGAGCCGGAAGTGAACGTTGCCAATGACATCTCCCAAGTATCCAACTGCAATTCCCCATTCAAACATTTGTGAATGCTGTAGAGACTATAAGAAATCTTCACGTTGTAATCCTCACCGCAGATGACCACCTAGCAAAACCGCAAGACTTTGTCACTGTTAAGAAGGAAGAATCAGCAGACCTAGGACAGAAGTCCAAAACAATAAGCCACTCATATTCAGAGATCGATAAATGCCTGTCCCTTGCCGCATAGCGTTATGGTAAAAACTGGTATCTATTTGAGACCCTTTGTGTGGATACAAACCTTGCTTCTATTTTTTCTGAATTTTCTGTTGACATCGACAATGTGCTTGGCAGGAAATCATTGGAGCAGAGTCTCAGTATTTTGTTCAAACATATGCTAGGTCTCCTGTGGTATTCGTTAGTGGGAAAGGTTGTAAACTGTATGACGTCGAAGGCAACGAGTATTTAGATATGACAGCAGGGATTGCTGTGAATGCTCTTGGACATGGAGATCCGACCTGGGTTAAAGCGGTTACTGAACAGGCAGGGAAACTCGCTCACGTTAGCAATCTTTTCCATACCGTACCTCAGGTAAACAGCACAAGCAGCTTCATGTTACTAGGCTTGTTGAGTATGATTTCAGAATGAGGTTAGGTGATTGGGATCATTCATTCGAGTCTCGAGCTCGATGTGGAACTATACATAGTACGTGGTGGAACAGAAACAGTAGTGAAATTAACATTATTTTTAGAGTTAGTCGATGCTTAGAGGGTTTGACAGTTGAAAAGCTCATGCCCAGGTGAAACTAGCTGAACGACTTGTGAGATCATCTTTTGCCGACCGGGTATTTATGGTCAACTCTGGCACCGAAGCTAATGAAGCTGCAATCAAATTCGCACGGAAGTATCATTATGCTTTGGCAAAGAGTAACGGGGATACGGCACAGGGAGCCACAGAACTTGTAGCCTTCACTAATGGTTTTCATGGCCGGACTCTTGGAGCCCTTTCACTTACAAGTAAAATACAATATAGGACACCTTTTGAACCCCTAGTGCCGGGTACGTGTCCTGGTCCCTTCCTTATGCTTCTTTATTCCTATATACTTGGCTTTGAGGCAGTTGTTATTTCTTCTACCCTGCATATGCAGTGACTTGTGACGAGTGTGTGTTGACAAGCATTAATCTATTAAAATTCTGTACAGAATATGCATAGTCGACGTGGAAGTAGAAAACCTGCTTGGATTTGACTCAGGTCTAGAAGTCCTGGTCGCTAGATCTAAACCTTAATTGTACTGCAGGTGCTAGTTTTGTGAACTTTGGAGACTTGGAAGCAACTAGAGAAATAGTTGCTGGTAAGACAGCAGCTGTATTTGTCGAGCCTTTGCAGGGCGAAGGAGGAATATGCCCCGCCACTGCTTCCTTCCTCAGGGGGCTTCGTGAACTTTGCGACGAAACTGGGACCCTTCTTGTTTTTGACGAGGTGCATGCAGAATTTCGCTTAATTAACATTTGTCGATGTTAGTATCTGTGATAATTGTATGTTAGCTAGCTTCAGTGCTTATCTCATGGAAGTGGGCACACTGTATTTGTTTCTCTTGAGAGTATTTAACCAATCCTTGGTCCGATGCATATTAGATACAATGTGGGTTGGGTCGTACCGGCCGCCTTTGGGCTCATGAAACTTATGACGTGAGGCCTGATATCATGACGCTAGCAAAGCCTTTGGCTGGTGGCCTACCCATTGGAGCTGTACTTGTAACAGATAGGGTAGCTTCAAGCATAGCAGCTGGTGATCACGGTAGCACATTTGCTGGAGGTCCTCTCGTGTGCCATGCTGCACTTGCTGTGTTAGACCGCATTCAGGTACTAAATCCAAGTCTTTGACCCTCACTATTGCTTTCTCTGATATTCCATCTTGTTGTTATCACCCTGCTTAGAGCGATTTAAGGTTGAACATAATATAATCCTTGACATTGTGATCTGTAAAACAATGTATACATTTTGGTGAAAGCGTGTTGGTAAACGATGTTTTCCCTCCAGTGAAACACTTTAATCTAGTTTTCCCTTTTGGTATTTATTGCCTGGCTTATTTTACTGCATGATTCTGAAAAAGTGTTTGCTGGATCCCCTATTGTGTTCAGGCTCCTGGCTTCTTGGAGAGTGTAGCTGAGAAGGGTGCGTATCTCAAGTCGCAACTGAACGAGAGGCTAGGCAAGAATTCCCATGTGAAGGAAGTACGAGGTGAGGGCCTCCTCGTCGGCATTCAGCTTGATGTTCCTGCCTCCCCGTTAGTTGCTTCTGCCCTCAAGGAAAAACTTCTCATTCTCACCGCTGGTAAGGGTGACGTTGTCCGCCTAGCACCTCCCCTAATCATCTCCAAGCAAGAAATTGACCAAGCTGTTGATATTCTGGTGAAGTGCATGCCCTCACTTAAGTAGTATGTCAAGGGTACCCTGGTACTATGGTCTTAGTGTCTGGGTTAATGTCCTGATCAAAAGTAGTCAATTATGTTTTCCCTGACACTGCTTTCTCTCGTACTTCTGAACTGCGAGAAGGACCTTAGGGTCGTCTTGAGAGAACCAGATTTGTAAGACTTAGCTATATTATTCTGGATATATAATCTAGAATCTGTTTACTATTGTAGTACAATCGAATATTTTCATTGATCACTAAGCCTTGTATGCCAAAATTTTGATACAATGGGGTTACACTTTACCGTACGTGGCGAAGTACTGAAATTACTGTAGTGCTACTGTAGGACATCTGTAGTGCTAGAGAATCTACATGGCGAGTCGCTATTTTTCTGCAAACTATTCTGTCAGCAAAAAATTCTGAGCTGTTACGATTGTGCTAATTGCACTAACATAGTATCTTCCTACAACTGTAACTAAAGCGCTCTCTTCCGCTCGGTACAACATTATGGTGTGTGCAGCCGGCTCCGTACCAAAAAAAAGGCGTGTAGGTGAAAGTTTTAACTGTCTATCCAAAATCTACTTAATCGCCCTAGTTCTGCAAAACAAGAATTCAATATGTATGCAGTTTGCGAATCTGAATCCCGAAGGCCCGGGCTCTTGTATTGCAGTTTGGATTGCAGCTGATTAAAGCTCTAAAGAAGAAATTTATTATGAGCCTTCTCAAGCAAAGAACTATAAGTTGCAACATGTTACAAGTCACAAGGCTCCCCACAATTCCTCATCCAAGATAATGAAATAAAAGCCACTTGAACATGAATTGCTCCTGCTGCAACTGCAAATCCTTCTTTCTGAAAACTACAAATAAACGACCTAAAAAACATAAAATGATCCTAAGGAACCTTATAAATTGTGCTCAATTGAGCAGTTGGAAAAGGAGCGTCAATTCTGCAGCTCTCAAATGTAGATTGATAGGTAAAGTTGCCAAAGAACATCACTACAGAATATCAACTGCTCACTAGACCGATTTTAGCTGTAAGGTTGACAAACCCTCTCGCAGACATCAACTCATACTAATCTGTACACTGTAAGGTTGAAATCGGAAAGGTAAATGATGAGACCCAACTAAAATTCTTGACTGCTTTCAGAATGATACCCTAAACCTCAAAACGCTGGTCATATCCGCTTCCTAAATGCCACCAAAGGAATCACAGAAGTTGCTGCAGGCGGTTGCAAGATCCCACACTCAACCAACTTGCAAAAACGGATCCAGGGCACAACTCATAGCAAATCTAACTGTCCAGAACGGATTCCAAATCCTCAGAAGTCATACCAAGTAGGGACTCCACGACGTCATCAGGGCCTAGACCACTCCTCCCGTTAACAGCAACGAGCTCCGTCTCAAAGATCAGAGCTGCACCACCAGGAATGTTGGGCGGAGCACCTTGAGCGCCGTAGGCGAGCTTGGCTGGAATCTTGAGCTTCCGCTTCTCCCCGACACACATGCCGAGAATGCCCTGGTCCCATCCCTTGATGACCGACCCCGTCCCTAGCTTGAAATCTAGCGGTTGCCTTCTATCATAACTATTTTCGAACTGTGTCCCGTCGGAGAGCCTCCCGATGTAGTGCACACTCACAAGATCGCCCTTGTGCGCCTTCAGCTCGCATACCTCCGGCTTAAATTTGACCCCAATTCCAAGCTCAGTCACTCTTTGTTCTGCTTTCCGGACACTCGCTCCAACTGCGACAATCGCCACGCACGCACAGAACACCATCAACACCGAATTCGTCGTCCCCAAAATCGCCATCTCTATCCGCCGCATCGAATCTCCGACTTCAGAAGTCTTATCCTCGGTATACCGATCTATCTTAACGCTCTCCAAATGTGAGAGGCAACAAAGCTTCTCGAACTATTTTTCTCCGTCAGCGCCGCCTTGGACGAAGGTCATCTTCGTCAGATATGTAATCGTTCAATATTGCTTTACAGAGGTGTCTCGAGAGTCACATCCAGACGAATGTGTCAGAATGGACGAAAACTGATCGCTAGCAATGGGGCAACTCTTCCTGCTATTATCGCCGAGCTGAACGTCCTTTTCCTTCTTTTGTCTGCACCACTCCGCGCTGCAATTATGGTCGTTATTCCAGATCTGCAGCGCATATTCTGGAAGTGTCAGCTTTCTGGTACCGACAAAACCGAGATGCAGATAGGGTTTTGGAAGTTCTCAGCAGGTTGACAAGTTGTGATGATGAAAATTTTAAGCACCGAATTATGTCTGACATCGAAAACAATGGAATCACTATCTAATGCTTCAATTTACTTGTCCAATTCAATTATATTCTCGTGTTCTCTCGCCTTGTCGGTGCTTCGTCGAAGTCTTTGCAAGGCCTCATGCATCAGCATTTGGTTGTTGTTTGTCTGCAAGGGATTTCTGAAAATAGTCGATGATTGAGGACTGAGATTTTGACGGTTCTGCATTTTGAGAAACTGTAAAGAGCATATACTGGAATGCCGTAGTCAGCAATTTGCTACCATTTGCTGTATGTGCCGCACTTGGGCGGAATCGATATCTTGTAACCTGCAATTGGGAGGAATCAGCGGCTAGATATAATTGTTTCGTTGAAATTGGCTTATTTCAACAAGGTCACTAGTACTCCCGGTTGAGTGCTAATCTGAATTGCACTTGGATAAAATCAGATTTCTGTGTCAATCCCATCAACAGCCTGGACGTTTTCTTTCAATCCACAGAAAAGTATGTACTAGTGGTACGTTTGAATGATGGCATGAACAGAAATTCCGTAAAATGATCTTTAGGATTACCACAATCATTAGAGTAAATTTCTAATTTCGATCGGCAATCAAATTGCAGTTGTTGGACGCTGAATCCCACAACAGCTTGCATACTTGCAGAGTGAACAGCGTTGTGGTTTCGCTCGAAGCAGTAAAAATAAATAAATAAATAAATAAATAAATAAAAATGAAAGCTGGAATTTAAACGCGGAGTGAACTTGATTCTAGTTTGTGGGATGGTTCAGAAAGAACATTGGACTCAGTGTTCTTTCAAATTTTAGTAATATCTCCATTACAAGTATATTTAATTTACATGTAAAAATCAATTGAGCGGAGTCAGCGTCCTGCTGTTTTTTTGATTGTACGTTGGTCCAGCATCCTCGTTTTATGCGTAGTACAATATCCGGTTCTCGAAAGAGAAGCCAAATAAGAATCCCACGTCCACATTTTGAGCATGCTCATACACTTCAATCGAACACCCTCTGCTCCACGCCCTTGACAATGTTACTGGATGTTGGCTCTGAAGTAATGATCATGCTTTGTAAGAGAGGTTTACTTACTAGTAATTCGTTTTTTGTTGGGTTCCTAACCAAGTCTGAGTGCAACAGTACTGGACACTGTTTACTATGTGCAGACCAGTCCAACAACTATTGTGTGAGTTTTACTGTCCTGACATGTTTATCAACTGCTATCCATTCTGCTTAATGGTTTCCTACAAATCTTACTGCTGTTGAAGCCCGTAGTGTTGAATTTTAACTTCGACCTGTACCTCTGTGAATCTCTTACATTTTTGGTTACGTCACGAATTTTGGAATCGTCTCTAGGCGAGGTAAGTACACTATTCCAACCAATGACATTACACTTTATATCATGTCTTCTAAATTCTATCATTGTTTTATTTGTATTTTAGTATCGAAGTATGTAAATCTCCTTGATTGCATTGCTGTACAATAGCATAGCAGACATACAAATATTCTCCATGTAAACCAATGTGGTCTAGCCTTCGATCATATCAACAAGACGGAATATCGTGTTTCAGCTTGTACGTTACATCTTAGTGACACAGACTTCTAAGAAAACTAACTGCAATGGTTTCGCACAAAAGAACTCAAAATCCCAGTCCATTGATTCAATGAGAGTTATAGGTGGATGTTACCTTGAGTTGTCAGGAGGCGTCTATTTCAATCCTCAATCCGACTAGAACCTTGACGCCTTCAGCCAAAACTGAATAATGCTTGACCACTTGCAGTTGGACAACTGCCAACAATTTAGGCAATTGGAAGATTGGTGTGTGATCGTTTCTTTTGTTTCAATGCCCTTGAGTCTCTGTTTACTCAAGCCTGTGACCTTTGATGTGGATCACTGCCAGGATGATGAGATGTATTTACCTTCTCCGCAACTAAAAAAATTACCTCCTCCACCTCTGAGACTTAACTAACTATTCTCAATAAGGCAGCTCATCCTTAAGTCAACAGGTCTCAACATCAACCTTGAACCCAAAAAGGTCAAATCTCCGTCTTGAATTTCGTGTGCTGTCTTGGTATTACAATCTTCTATCTGGCCTGTAGTTAGCACGCCTCCCATCATCATGCCTAGTATAGACGACGACTGTATCGTACGCTTGCATTGTAAAGGGACTTTCTGCAAAAGAACTGTTCCAAAAAATCCATGAGAAACAAATTGGCTTTTCCAGCAAAGTTGAGGATATAAGAAGAATTAATGGTTCCAGTCATACTTCTATAAATAATGTTATTCAACACATGCAAAAGCAGCAAAGTAGAATAGATAATAGTATATGATAAATGTGGTACTGCAAAAGTTACCACAAATATGTTTCATTCGGGGAAAGGCTTACCGCAACTCATGCCAAAACAATTCAGCCTTATCATCTAGAAATCGCTTCAGCTCTTTAATAGCATTCGCTTCAAAAGCCTCGACTTCAATTGAATCTGCCGCATGTCTGCTGCTAGTCGCATATTGTCCGCCTAATCTCCCTTGTTTTTGAGATGTGTGAGAAGCCTCACTATTCGATGCAAACCATATGCCTAAAATCAAACGAACTAAGAAATCATGATCGGAATTCGGCACCACAGCTTGCAATTCACGACGTATCCAGGGCTCCAACCTCCGTTCAGCTCTTTCTTTAGCATCCTGAAATAGAGAAATTGGCAGGATTTAGACCCATCGTCCAGATTTACTAGATTTATGTTAGCTCACCCCAAAATCTACATCGTTAATCACAAAGAGATTAGAGTAATCCAGACCTCTTGAGATTCAGTTGCGTCGCCCAAGGTCCTACATTCTAAATACAATCAACCAGCGACATAAACATAAAAGACGTACAAGTGTGCAAGAATTATTTTGCTCTAGACATCTGTAATGATAGCGAAGGCATGCGTATGGGAGACCAAGCAATCAACCTTGGTGCTCATTAATCGTTTTCCGACTTCGAAAGGACGAGCTTTCAAATTCTTGTCGTAAATGCTGCACACAACCATAACCAGCCGAAGTCAGTAGCCAACCAAAAATAAAAACATAGAAGTTAAGAACAAGTACAAGAAGTCAAAGTCTATAGAGAAAAAAATACTCCTCAGGATTTAGCAATGAAATTATTGTAGCAGACACAGATACCATTCTAAACTGCTGAAAACTGCCTCAAGGATTTCAGAAGTGCGTCGAATGCATTATGTCCAGGGTTGACGAACCTTCGTCGCCATCGCAACACCTTCGCTGCAGCTTGCTCCTCAAAATGCCTCATCGCTTCAGCACTTTGATGTTGTCTAGGAAGACCAAAAGAGCGCTGCGTCGGAAATGATCCCGATCGTGATGCAGCTCCATCCGGTGCTACGCCCTGACGTCCAAGATGAAGTGGCCTCCGCCTTCTACCGCTCTCCTGGCGTCTAGAGATATAATCGTTCATTTAGTTACAATCAATTACAACAAAAGTCACACTCAACACTTATTCTGTATTTTTATTTAGAAGTTAATACATAATCAGCCTATTCTAGCCTTGAGACCAAGCAATCTTGAGATGTATGATAGGGTAACACAGTGAATTCGAAAGCTGAAAACTACACAACTTCCAGCAGAATTAGCTTCGGAAGTTGGAACGCAGGTAGTTCCATAGATTAATGATGGAGAAAAACCCAAGGCATCACATACTGACATACTGCACCAATTGTTGTTTTAAAATTTAAAAAAAAAAGAAAAAGAAAAAGAGGCCTATAAATACCATGAACTTAGGTGGACTCTTCCTTGTAACGAGTGACACAAATTCTGAGATTAGCCAATCACATGTAACCCACCTCAACTTCATCACAACCTATATGTGCTAAATGGGTGTACTTACATCAATCTGGGGTCTCTCCATAGATGAAATCTCGAAAATGCTTGCCTAGCAGGCACATCTCCTTGAGAAAGCTGAGTATTCGACTCTGGAACAGGCGGTAAGATCCTCTCCAGAAATTCGTTATTTGATTGGACGCTGTAATACCAGCCACGATATTCTGCTTTGCACAAGGGACACACTCGACGAACTCGACTCCACTCCTCTATACAATGGGTACAAAATCTGTGCATGCACCATTGCAGGACAGCTTCTGTAGATTCTTCGATATTAGCCAGGCAAATCGGGCACATCACTTCCTGAGAAGAAGTTGATGCACCTTGATCGCCATTTCGTATTCTACTTATAATACTCTCGTCCCTGAACACTGGACCTGATTCCTCAACTTCGGCGTTCATACAAACAAGGTTGTTCTCCTTCCCACGTGAAACTGAATACCCTAAATCAAGACCAGTATCTTTCCGAGAGCGTGAAGCAGGCGAGCTTGAAGTTCTTCTTCGCTTCCGCCTGTGATTTCCGTGAACCCTCCAATCACAGCATTGTGAAGAATTCCCATTGGCCTTCAGAGGCGACGAAGAATCGCGTTCAACAGAGTCGGTGACATCTGAAGACGGCGGTAAGCATGCCCACACACCAGCCCCCGGCAGCCAAACATTCCGTGGTGTATTCATATCATGACGTCTCAAGCTCCCAATTGCTTCCAAACCCTAAAAAAAACTTCTGCCCTGTGAGAGCGTTTCTCAGATACTACCAACCCTGACACAAAACAAAATATACCTAACATCTCACGAATTCTCATCTCCACATGAAATTGCACACTCCCAACCTCACATCCCCATCTTGCCGTTCGCCCTATGGAATTACTCACTAAAACCTGAGATCACATGAACAGAGCAACACAATGTGACAAGCGTACACCGCAAAAACCAACCCAATGCAATTTCGAACGAAATCGCCAATCGAGACCATCAGTGAAGATCCTGTCAAAACTGGTACAACCAAATTCATGGGAAGACAGCACATTCGTCAATTGTCAGTGCCGCTGAATAGAAGTCCCAATGACTTCGTCGCACCACCGACATCCTGCAGCTTCGTTCGAAATTCCAAAAGATTGTCGAAGTGTGAGTCCAAAAAGATGTCATTCATCCTTTCGATGGTTTCGTTAACGAATGCTTCGTAGAAAATTCTGTTCATTCGAAGGATGATGTCGGGCAGCAGGCTCAATCCTTGCTGCTGCCCGCTTCATTCTCAATTCGGGCAGATAATGAAAGATTGAGTAGAGGGCGAACCCGTGCCTTCTTCATGTACAGATTCATTTAAACAGTGTAGAGCATCTTTTGCTCGCTCACTCGCTTGTGTTCCTGCCTGGTTGCCCAATTGTATAGTTCTGCAAAAAGTAAAATTTAATAAATTTGATACTAATAATTCATTATGTCATACTACGGCATACTTGGCATTTATTCATCAAACATATTAGGAATTTATGATCAATATAAGTAGCCAAGTTCATATATATATATATATATATATACACACACATCATGAGCAGTCATTTTTTTTTCTATTTTGGTATAATCATGTTTGATAGTGGGAAATGGTCATGAGACATATGTAATAGATTGAATAGTTTCATTTTTAAACCTTCAGATCAATGCAACACCAATGATGACTTCAAAAGTGTGACTATGGACAAAAACATTGTACTTTTTTTTTTTTTGGTGTTGAAATAAGAGCATCAAAGTAACATTACTTAATGTACTCAAATACTTTGTGTTTTTAATTTGAGAAATAATACAAAGTTTGATGAAAGCTATTTTCAAGTTTATAGAGAAAACTTGATATTTAATTTAAATCTAAAAAATACTCAAAATAGTAAATAAGATTGAAATATTAGCCATATCTTTCCACCATTGTCTTTAAGTAGTACAATCACTCATACTCTAGCCATAGGTGTTGGAAATAAATCATTATTACATAAAAGTACAAATATATTTATTATTATTACAAATTATCTTCTATTGAATTAAGTCTCTCACATCACTTCTCTCTTAACTTTAAAAAATATATGGAATAAATTATTTAGGTTATTTTATTCACAAGATTATTTAAGTCATAAGACTTTGTAATTTAGATGCATTTTGGGAAAAAATTAATCATATTAAAAATAAAAGATCATTATAATATTATAAAAATTTATAATTACTAATATATTTACTTATATAAGTAGAAATAAATGGAATTATATAGAAATAAATATAAGTTATTAATATCATATTAAAAGACTTTTAAGAAAATTTGTAAATGTGGATTGACTTTATATATATATTTTTAGGTAATTAATAGGTTGAAAACTTGGCCAACAAATTGATTACATGTCACACATATTGGCTACTTATATTAAAAATTGCCTATATAGCACATGTGTCAAAAACCTATCCTACAAGTTAGACATGTGTCTTATAAGTTGGATATATGTTATGTGACTTATATGTTATTGGCACATACCTCTTTAATTAGATAATATATATGGAGGCAAGAGTGAGGTTTTTTTCACTCTTATTGAAATTACTTGATTTTCAAACATTAAGTCAAACAATTGAATTTGCCGTAAGATGTGATTATCAACTTTTTGAATTCTAAACTTAAAATCATAAAAGTACACCACATCAACTTTTTAAATGGTTTATACTTATGTCTTTTCAACAAATATATTTAAAATTAGAGAATATGCAAATTAACACAATATGCTTTAAAAAAAACTCAAAGCCATTAAAAAAGGTTATATTTATTTTGTAGAGAATCTAAATATAATACTCAATATTTTCCTAAAAAATGATAAAACTATAAAATGAAGAGCATAGTTGTTAAAGAAGATAATGTGTTAGAAAATAAATTTGTCTTTTTGTATTACATCTTGTAAAGGTTTTTTTTTTTTCTTTAAAACCCTTTTCTTGCTTTATAATAGATATTTTTTTATCATCTAAAAATTATGAAGTTTCTATTATATTAGATTAAAGAATTAATGTTTTTTTTTACATAAGGTATTTTTTAAGAATTAAAAAAATATAATTTATAAAAAAAACTCAATCAATATATGAAGTGGTCATAGATGGTCAACTTTTGTCTTTTAAAGATGTTATTTATAAAATCATTTCTCTCTCTCTCTCTCTCTCTCTCTCTCTCTCTCTATATATATATATATATATATATATATAACAACAAAAGGTCATAATATTTTAATAATATTTAATACTATTAGAATTCTTCCTAATTTAATTATTTTGGATCTATTATAAAAAGAAAAATAAGTTAGATTTCTTATATTATTGAATTTTTATATTATATCTAATAATATTTCTAACCAAGTAATAAGTTATAAGTTTAGAAGAACCAAATTTTTATTTATTAGAACAAGTAAATTTGTGCTCATGTCAAAAAAAAAAAAAAATATATATATTTATATATTGAAACCTACATGGCATACAATTTGGACCCTAGATGCATCTATAAAAATAAAAAGGTTTTTTAGATGATTTTTTTTAAATATTTTTATATTATATCAAAAGAAAAAAAATGCAACTTTATATCAACAACAAATGATTTTTTTTGAAGCTAAAGCAATTTCATCTTTGAGCAATGAAATCAACTTTGATTATTGATTTAACATTTTTTGAGCAAGTTCAATCAAGTATGTCATCCAATCTTCTTATTTATGATATTAAGAATAATTCTTTTTTAATCTCATGAAATTTTTAGATTTAAATTTAAGAATAATTTATTTTATTTTGAGGTTTGCTTATATTTTCTAAAAGATAAAGTATAATTACATAATTTTTAAGTTTGTCAAAACTTTTTAATTTTAGTAAATTTAAGATACAACAAGACTTTGGACCTAATATCTAAATATTTTTAGTGGCTTCAAATATAGAAGGTAGTTGAAAAATTTTCACAATTATGTGATATTTGTTCAAGATAAAAAAAATATGTTAAAAATGGTTTTTTATTTTCAAACTAAAAGAAAAACCAAACAAATAAATTAAGCTTTAAAACAATATTTGAGATCTACCATTAATTACCATCGAAATGATTGGATAACTTTCTTATAATTGACAAAGTTTTTTTTTTATAATAATATAATACATTCTTCTATTTAGCAAAAATCTTTTTATGAAAATTATGGTTATCATCAACAACTTGATACTTTTGACTTCTTGATAGTTAATAATTTAATAGCAAAAAAATTGGCAAATTATTTATTATAATTACATACAATAATAAAAGCACAATTAAAAGAAGTTCAAGAATGACAAAGGATCAATGCAAATATAAATTACAAAAAACAACATGAATTTCATATTGGTAACAAGATATGGTTATTTTGTTGTAATATCAAGACTAGTCGCACTTGTAACAAATTGAATTATTATAGACTTAGATTATTTTCAATTTATAAATAGATCAATCTAATTACATATCAACTATATCTAATAGAATCTATAAAAATCCATCATATATTCTATGTCTCTCTTCTTGAACCATACAAGAGAGTAGATATATTGGGAAGAAGACAAATATCACATCTTCTTATAGAAGTAGACAATAAGTAGGAGTTTGAAGTCAAAGAAGTCTTAAACTCAAGGCGGCACCAAAATATGTTAAAATATCTTATACAATAGCATAAATATAATGTTAAAGAATGCACATAATAGCCATTCAAGAATCTTGAAAATGCACAAAAGAAGGTTGATGCTTTTTATCAATGACTTCCATCAAAATTAAGATGAAGAATTAATTGATTATTCCTATAAAAAAAACATAGTTTGATAGAAATTGAGTTTTATTGCTTATCTTTGTTTATAATTTCTATATATTTTTGGTGCTAAAGAGATAGAGAATCAACAAAAAATAGATTTAATTCTACAACTTATATTTGTTAAATTATCAGAAAAAATGTTATAATCAACACAACCTTCAAGATGACATAATAGAAATAATAATCTTTAAGAACATGTTTTTTTACAAATACATAGTGAAATACAATATTGTCACATTGTAGCATGACTATATGGAGAAAATGTGAACAAAAATGATATTATGATTATTACTTTATTATCTTGTTTAATAATAATTTTAGAAATTTAAACAAGGCTTTTATAAAAGCCTCTTAGTTTATTATCTTGTTTTACTAGCTAATAGATTAAAATTTGGTTAACAAATTTTCCTTCTAAGTTGTAAAAAAAATTCTTTTAGTGCCTTAGAAAGGCTATAAATTGATAAAAATAAAATAGATTAGATAAATATTTACTATACTCAATTCTAAGATGAAGTTAAGGATAAGGTTGAGCTAAAAAAATTCTAGGAAAGTTTGGAATGATACCCAAGGGACAACTCTTTATAGATCAACATCAAAATCAGATCTTAAGCTACTAAAACGACTACTTAAGACAAAGTAGAAATTTTTTTGGAGATTGAAGGATTGAGTCGGAGAGCAAGCTTTAATTTTATTTCAAAGTTTTAAAGCTTTTTTTCATAAGTTTGAAATGAATTTGCAATTTTTGTGCAAAATCAAGGTTTGTATTAGTGGTTTTGAGTTTATTCAATAAAATTAGGATTAATTCTATTGATTGGTTTGTGAAAGGCATATGACATCTATCATTAAAATTTTGTCACTATATAATTGAATAGATGTGCTAATTTTTTGTAAACTTTTATATTATTCTAACAGTACAATTGGAAGATATTCAGTAATTAGAGCAAAGATGTATCAGAAGTTGGCATTTTGGCATTGAGTAGGATTTTTATAATATTTGAAGATCTATTTATTGAACTAAAAAAAAGTTAGCTTAGTTTTAATATATTAATATATCAAGCTATATAATAATTTGGATTTGAAATTAATAGTTGGAGATGGAAAAATTGTTGCTTGAACTTCATCATCAACCTTTAAGTTGGTGGCTGAGAGATACTAGCACAATTCTTTTGCATATTTCTCATAATTTGACAATTGGATTGGTTTAAAATTTTTGAGCATATAGAAGATGTATTGTTTCACTAATATGTAAAATTTTATATCAACTAGATAATTAGATCATGAAT